CAGCCATGTGGTTGACATTTATGGCAGACAACAGGCTTTTCCTGTACCGACACATGTTCATTCTCACAACCAGAGTGATGGAGTCCTCAGTATTGCTACTTGGCTAATATGAGTGCTATTCCTATGGAACAATTGAGAGTTCTCAATCCCCGGTGATCTGGCAAAGACAGGCTGAGTGTGGAGGGTGCAGACTGTGTTGTCTGAGTGACCCCTGCCACAGAAAGAGCACCCTCCTCGGAGAGTCGCGGTGGGGAGAGCGTGGCCATTGTAATTGGATTCTGCTGACCTGTTGTTGCCACTTAGCTGTGAGCGGCAAGGTGAGGGGCCATACGCTGACTGATTTGCCTCACCCCAGCTCAACTGCTCTTTCCTTGAAACCTTTCTTTCCTTTTTGATGGCCACTGAATTTGCCACTCTCCTCTTCTCAGTGTCTTCAGACAATAAACTGGATTTTCTAAATGCTTTGAGTGACTCAGTCCTGTCGACTCAATAAGTCCATTAACATTGGAAGGCCTTTTTAGCAATGATTAAACTCCAAAATTGTTTTATTCACATTCGAAGATTGAAATGGTAATATTGGTATAGTTCTTTAAGTGGTAGCAAGGAGCTGGCAAGGTTCGGCTGGCTTATAGCAACATGTAGGCATCTTTAAGTTTATTAGCATGCAGGTGTTATTCCATTTCTATTGGTTCAGTTGCTAGGCATTCTGACTCTGAAAAGGCAGATACCATGACACAAGCTATGATACAGATGGATTAAAAAACAAAAACAAAAACAAAACTCTTGTAATGCCAACCTAAAAAAATGCAGATGAACCAAATGAGCAGAATGTGTGTGTAGCTAGTGACTAGAGCAATGAGCAATGTGTAAAAATGTTGTGTAAATAAGTTATGTGAAGAAAATTTGGGAAAGAAGAAAAGGGACTTGTGACGAGGTAGATATGGGTGAGGTGACAGGGTGGATACAGACATGAGAATAGGAGGTAAGTGAGTTGTTTAGTGAGGCTGGGAAAGGCTGTGTGGTTAGGTATGAAAGATATAATGGGGAATAGAAGGCCTTGACAGCCAAGCAAAGCAGCTTGGGTTTGTTGTGGGATACAATGGGGAGCTGGGAACAGAGATGTGGGGTGATGAAAACCGCTTGCTGCAGACTGTTTCTGTGTGTGAGATAGATGGGGGGTGGGGCAGGAGAGAAGTTCGGGGAAGTCTAGCCTGAAGACACTAAGGTTGACGTGTTATAGGGGTGAACGCTCATGCTAATCAAAGAATGAAAGTATCAGTGCATGAGGACGGTGGATGGAGAGTCCTTGGGGACCCTTGTGATCCTGCTGATGTGCATAGCTGTTACCTCCTCTGCAGCATCTTCTGATACTCCACTCTCATTAGGTATCCCCTACAGACCGCTTGTGTTCTTGTTATAATCTGGGCCAACTTTTCATCTCTCATTTCTTCCAAGAGACCCAGGAGGCCAGCTTTGAAGAAAACCTGCAGGAGCAGAAAGTCACCCGTCATCCCCACACTTCAGCAAGACACAGAAATGGCTGTGAGTACATGGGTCGGGTGTACGGGAGTCACAGCCATACCTTGGTGTGCCCAAATTTATACTGGGTGTGGTCAATGTCAATAGAGCCCAGGAGCTTCTCTGAGGCCTTCTTGCTGTCAATGAACTGTCCCTCCGGAATAGCACTTGCATTTAAAACTTTGTATCTGTTCAGTTAAACACAAAAGGAATGGTCAGAAAGGTGTAATCCCTTACCCAGCTGGCACCAAAAAGAAGTACCTGTTCAAATCCCAGAATAAAAACGGAAGTAGAGATTGGACAATTCTCTAAGATCAGATTGTGACCTAGCCTATTATTCTATCCTCTGTTACAGGACTGAATTATTTGATTTTTTTATTTGTGTAATTATGCTAAGTAGGAGACCTGAAATATGATGGGCAAAGTACAACTAAGATGACAAATACTGATAGCATTCAGCGTCATACAGCTAATGCTGTATGAATAAGAGCATTCAGCAAAGAGGACTGACCTCTGTTTAAAGTCCCCATACAGGATCCTGCTGGGGAAGCCCTTCCGGCAGATGCGGATGCCTTCCAGCACCCCGTTACACCTGAGCTGGTGCAGGACCAGTTCGTGCTCCATGGCACCTGCAAAGAGAAAGAAGGAGTTAAGTCCCAGGCACTGAATTTTCAGATGGGGCCTAGTTTGTTGTCAATGCTTTGTGTCTTACCGGGAGTTTTAGTTTCATTGGGGATAATGCACCGTACGAAGTGAGGGTGTGTACTCCTCAGGTTGGTCATCAGTTTATTTAAGTTCTCCTAGAAAGTGAGATAGAAGGGTCTTTAGAAGGTTGCACTTTGAGTTTCTTTTTCTTTTTTGGGGGGTGGTGATGGTGGTAAAAATTATACAGCACACTCTTAGCTACTGGACATAAGCTTATGAGACTTTAACTGCTGTTTATTTTGAAGGCTTCAGTATTTAACCTGCTAAATGGCCAGAAGGCCAAAGTACTAGAAAGAAGTTCAGATTACCAAGGTATCCACTGTAACACCTAGGTCCAGATAGCAAAGTCAGTAGCCTCCATACACAGGCAGAATTCTCAGGCAGCACCAGAAAACAAAGACTACAGGCTCTCTCTACCACTAGGGAGTCAGCTGACCCTACACCAGTCCATGTCTCCCTGGGCCTCATCTGATGATGGTCTCTGTGGCCTCTTCCATTTTTCAGTACTCACAATGTTCACAGTAGTTAGCAATTCTCAGTGAAAACCTGGTTTAGCAATCATTCCAATTTTTGCTGTTCTTCTTCTTCTTTTTAAATCATTCACAGCATCTTCTAATTTCTTGTTTTGTTTTTTAAAGAGTGTAAAAGTGTGAGACAATATAATTTTGTGTGGGTGGATCTTGGGTGCCTGAAAACATTTTCCATCTCAAGTATATGGGGGAGTTATTCTAAACAAATGAAGTAATTGATTATGACGGAGAATGTTTCACTCAGCCATAGAGAACACACATGCAAATATCTCTTACATATGCTTTTTTTACATCTCAGCCACTAGGAAATCAAAACAAATAACATGACTATCTAAGCCTGAAAATACCTTTACAGACAAGTTTACAAAGCAACCGTCTGTTTTGTTGGCTGATGCAGATTATATTAAGATGGGAAAAGAGTAAGAACAAATTTCTGGGGTAGGTCAAAGGTCATAGATCACACCTGCATTTTTAGTTTTGAAAGCAATGAGGCATAAAAATCCTCACAAACAGTCCTCAGAGTAGACATCTTACATGCATCCCTCAAGAACAGCCTTGCCATGGAAGAATTATACTTGCATTATGGAAATGTGCAAGTATATAATGGAAAAGCTACACTATTTTGTAAATAGAAGTATTATTCTTTTGTAGCTAACTGTCCATTCAGATCACTAGGCTCAGTTTTAGGTGGCTTTCATCTTTTCTAAAAATGTCAAATCCATCTCAGGGGGAAACATGTTTTGGTGGGAGAATGTTCTAAAGAATGCATCTCATTTTCATTCTCAAAGAAAACTTAAATCCTGGCAAGGTAGCACATGCCTGGAATCCAGCACTCAAGAGCCTGAGGTACTAATTTCACAAGTTCAAGGTCAGTTTAGCCTACATAGGAAGATCCTGTCCCAAAGAAAACAAAGGGAAACTCAAGAACATTCTTAAAGAATACTATTAGTGAGATAAGAATACAGCTGTCACAGGGAGAACATTGAGGATCAGAAGTGCTTCTTTAAAAAGCATCCTTATTATGGATATTTACTCTCTCTCTCTCTCTCTCTCTCTCTCTCTCTCTCTCTCTCTCTGTGTGTGGTGCCCAAGAAGCTTCTAAGGACATGTTGACAATCCTGGATGCTTCAGGTAATCATAATAAGAAATAAAGAAGAAAGCATCTTACCCAAGTATTGATTTAGATCCATCCTGATGAGAGTCAATATCTAAAGTGATTCCTGTCGCCATTCCATTCCCTCCTGATTTATTCTAAATCCTATTCTAAATGCCTAGAATCTGAATGTATTTTTGCAGTTTAAATCTATACTTTACCCTGAAGAGGGCCGACACGGTCTGGAAAGAGGAGCCCTTCTTCTTTGCTCCTTTCTTCGCACCGCCATCTGAGATAAAAGGAAAAAACCCATCAGTAGAGTCGACTCCCAGAGGACGGAGTGGTGCAGGAACATTTGGAGGGGATAGTTTGATTTAGACGAAGGACATAGAAAGTACCTGCTTCAGCACTGGCATATGTGGAAAAGAGGCTGGCCAGAGTTTTCATTGCGGACTTCTGGTACAGCCCCACCACGGTGTCGTTCAGGGGGTCCTTGTTCTTGTCCAGCCAGCCGGCGATGTTGTAGTCCACGGTCCCCGCGTAATGCACCAGTGAGAAGTGGGCCTCAGCCTTGCCTTTGGCAGGCTTGGGCTTCTGGAAGTTGTTGGACTTTCCCAGGTGTTGGTCATACAGCTTGTTCTTGAAGGAGGTGTCTGTCGCCTTGGGGAACATGCACTCCTCTTCCAGGATGGAGAAGATGCCCAGTGGCTGAATTCAGAAAAGGAGACCTATGTTAACTTCACTTTCTTCGGTGAATGTAGACCCGATGGCTGTCGTTTGAATTATGAGCACCCCCAATTAAATATAAACACAGAAGTCAGGCTCTGTGCTCAAAAGTCCCTTTGTTATCCCTAGAAGGACTTTCCTACCATCTCATCCATTATTCAATCTGTAACATTAGGGTCAGTTAAAAGAATAGCTGGACACGAATCCCAAGGAATTTGCAGGTAATTTTGAAAATATTTTTTATTGCCATACTTCCCCTCCCCAACACTGTTCAACGAATAAATTTGTTGTCAAAGTTTTATTTTCCTCCAAAAAATGTACTGGAACTGGGAAAATAACTCAGTGGGTAAGAATGCTTGCTGTGCAAGAACCCACATAAAGGCTAGGCATGGTTACATGCCTACCTGTAACCCCATTGTGTGGGGCAGGTAAGAGGTCACCAACCTAGTGGAGGCCCCGTCTCAAGAGAATATGGCAAAATGTGATAGAGTAAGACACCTAGCGTCCTTCTCTGGTATTCACATGTGCACAGAAGATGTACCTGCACATGTTTGAGTACATACACACACACACACACACACTCTTGGCTGAGAATAATATTTGACTCCATGCACAGGAAGAAAAAAATAATATAAATAACCTAAATATTACTTAAGATATTTTAGATGTTTAATCTCCTTAAATATAGATTCTTAAGTAGTACAAGCAATTTGCCTTCTTGATTTCTGGTATACTGGCTGTATCGTCTGCGCATCAGTTTTCATTTAGAAAAGTGTTTATTTCTATTGATGACATCCTGGACTATAATGGAGGCAGATTAGAGCTGGCGAGAGTGGTTCTAGCGAAGCTGACTGTCATGATGGAGTGCTCACAACTGCCTCTAAACTGGATAGGAATCGGTATTAGAATACAATGGGGAGGAACTAAATGAAGCTAACCCCTTCCAGACCCGTCTCATGTAAAAGCTGTAAAGAGGAAGTGATTTCTAAATAGTGCTCTTCCAATTTGTTCAGATCTCAAGCAACGGGAAGGACAATAATACTCTGTAGAATTTTTTAAGACATCTGAAGAGTCATCCTCATAGACAGACCCTTCCATGAAATTCATACAAACCTTCTCGATGAGCTCGATGCAGGCAGCCAGGTCCATCCCGAAGTCAATGAACGTCCACTCGATGCCTTCCTTCTTGTACTCCTCCTGCTCCAGCACGAACATGTGGTGGTTGAAAAACTGTTGCAGTTTCTCGTTGGTGAAGTTGATGCACAGCTGCTCCAGGCTGTTGAACTACACAGAGCAGTAGAGATTTCCCAGGTTAAGTGGGTATTTATAGGAGCAAATTCTGTTAGTGGAAATATTCTTTATGGGAAATAATCTGAATAGAGTGATGAGATTAAACTTAGGTATTTAAGCTGATTGCTGTTTGTTCATTATCCAGGAATACATGCTTTTCTCATGAGTTCTGGGCAGTCTTTAGGTACTCGGGTATCAATTACATAATTTTTCCTTCCTTCCTTCCTTCCTTCCTTCCTTCCTTCCTTCC